TCTTCCATAGTGGCTGCACCAGTCTGCATTCCCACCATCAGTGCACAAATGTTCCTTTTTCTCCACATCCTCTCCAGCACTTGTCATTTGTTGATTTGTTGATGATAGCCAGTCTGACAGGTGTGAGATGGTACCTCATTGTTGTTTTGATTTGCATCTCTCGGATGATTAGTGACTTTGAGCATGTTTTCATATTTATCAGATATAAAAATGTCTCATTAGAATCTAAAATTATTTAAAATTGGAAATTACAAAATGAAATTCCTGTATTTGCTTTTTTATTTTTATATTATAAATTGTTACTATTTAAATGAGTAATAGAATATTTATTCATTCTTGTGTAGACACAAAATAAAAAAAAAACTCTTTTGAGATACACCTTAGCACTAAAATGCATTATAATTGCAAAAATGTGTTGAAAACTGTTTAACACATAAAAGACATTGAAGTTTTCTTATAACCATATCTTGAAAAATCCTGAAATTATAATATATTTGCATCTAAAACTTTGTTTAAAATTATATTTGACTAAATGGCATGAATGTAGCATGACTTTTCAAGTTAATATAAAATTAATATTCTTTAATCACTTAGCTTCCTTTTCTTAGAATATGATCCCAGCATCCGACTCCATAGGCAACTGCACTAATGGGGCCTCTTTGATGAATGATTGAGGGAATTGGTTTTATCTTTCCTAATGGAAGTTAAGTTACTAAAAGAAATGCATTCCGTGCTTTTCTTGGTCCATCTTGAAAGTACTCATGCAACAATTGAAGGAAAATATCCTATTTTTGACTCAAATATTTATCAAAGTGAATGCTTTTCTTTAATTATCAGCTTTAGAATGGCATTCCAATTAAATTGATTTTAACCATATAATCTCAAATATGACATATATTTTTGTTATTTATTTATCTATTCACATTTACAACTTAATAAATATCTTCCCACTAATATCTCTGTCTTTATTCTTGACTTGAATGTTAGATGAAAAATTGGCTAAGAATAGACCAATAGTACCACAGTAAGGTCTATTAAGTTAAATGTGGAAGAAAACTGGGTAGCATCCTGGAGAATCTCTCAAGGACTAAATCAAGAGAGGTAGGTTAAACAAGACAATTTGACCTTGTTTGGGACAAAATGCTTCCTTTCCACAATATACCAGTATTTTTCAACATTATTTTTGTTTTGTTTTTTAATCCTCACCTGAGGATATTTTTCTATTGATCTTTTAGAGAGAGTGGAAGAGAGAGGGAAAGACAGAGAGAAACTTCGATATGAGAGATACACATCAATTGGTTGCCTCCTGCATGCGCCCTGACCAAGGCCTGGCCCGGGAGGACCCTGCAACCAAGGTAAGTGCCCTTGACCAGAATTACACCCAGGACCTTTCAATCAACAAGCCAACGGTCTATCCACTGAGCCAAACTGGCTAGGGTTACACTATTAATATTGGATCTCATTCTTCAATTTAATTTTTTTAAAGAAAAACAGATCTGCACTGAGAAAAAATCCAATCCCATACTCCCTTCTTAGTGTTCTCCACAGAGCAGGTAATCTCTTCCTAAACTTCCTAAACTTGCATTTACCATTTAAAACCTATTGCTGTAGTGTTTTGTTTTGCTTAGCTGGTCTTTCAAAAATGAGGATGTTTCCTACAAATATTCATCCAGTTTTAAACAATGGCAGGGAACTTTGTGCCTTTCTGTCAGATAGAACTGATTGACCAAAGATAAATAGGGCAGGGCACATGAATGTCATTTCACTACAGTCATCACCATTCCCTACTGTATTCATGTCTGGCCACGGAAACTTTGACTATATCTTTTCAGAGAAGAAGATGTATAATGCATGGTTCTCTACGTTTTCTGTAAATAATATACTCACAGATTTCCTAGTCAGACTCTTGGTGCTGAGAATTTTCTAGGATTCCAAAATAAATCTGTGCATGCTATTGCGATAGACATACTTTTGGAGACAAAAGGAAAATATATAACCTCTATGTTTTTAATACAGTAGTCGGCATTACATATACTCTATACACAGCTGCTCTGTCTTGCCACTACATCATTATGAAAGGGCCAAGGGAAAACTAATTTTGCAAGGGTGGGAATAATGTTTTGTCAAATAACCATAATAGAATGATGAAAGTTCACCATCATTCATCTAAGGCTTTGATTTGAAAAAAAGTGAGAGAGTGCTAGCAGTTTGGCTCAGTGGATAAGGTGTTTGCCTACAGACCAAAGGGTCCCAGGTTCAATTCAGTCAAGGGCACGTACATTGATTGCATGTTCCTCCCTGGCCCGGGTCTGGGCCCTGGTCAGGGCAAGTGCAGGAGCCAACCAATGGATGTATTTCTTTCACATCAATGTTTCTCTCTGTCTTTTCCTCTCTTCCACTCTCCCTAAATATCAATGGAAAAATATCCTCGGGTGAAGATTAACAGCAATAGCAACAACAGCAAAAGTGAGAGAGCCCACTGCTTGTTAATTACATTTTTATGTTTTTCTGTAGAATAACAATGAACCCAGTTGGCATTGTTAAATTTTATATTCCCATTTTACTATATTCTACATTTGCTCTCTGCCATTCTCCCTGATTTCTCTCAACGATCTGGTCACTGGCCTCCTCTCTCCCTATGTGAGGCTCAGTCAGATGTTCCACACCAAAGATGCCTTGGAGCTACTGAATTCTACTGTTCCTTAGTAGGATTACCCTATTAACTTATTTGTATATTAGCAGTCTCAATCCATTCCTAAGCTAGCACTCTTGAAGATAAAGCTGGTTCATTGTTCCTGCCCCTCTGTAAGAATATATGTTCTTTTGGCAATGTTCTTTTTGGTTGCCACATTCATCACATATTTTAAAATTTATTTTTACTTCATCAAAGCATGGGTGCTACATTTGGTCCTTCTTCCTCCAAAAAAACATATTTTCTTTGATTAGATTACTTAGAAAAAGGAACTTTTCTCCCTTAACCCTTTATCCTTACTCTGTGATAAATTCAACGAGATAAAAACAAATGGATCTCTATTTTCTTTAGTCTCTACTTCAAAAGTAC